CTGAGACATTGTTAAGCAGTGCATTACTGTATTTTTTCTATCATCTCACACAGGGATAATGCAAGATGAGCCTGGCAAGTAAGAAAGTAGGGAAGTGTTGAAAAAGCAAAAGGATGGGGATATGTGAAAGATACAGGAACCAACTTGAAAACTCCCAATGGCCAAAGTTGGAACAATTTGAGCAACAAAATTAATAACAGTATTGGTATAAAATAAATATATGTGACTCCATACTGACATAAATAATTGAATAAGTAAATGGAAAGAAGACAAATCTTCCTTATAGAAGAATTCCAAATAATGGTATAGATACCCCTTCCCCAGAAGTGGAGCTTAATTCTCTTTTCATTGAGAGACTGGATAGATGGTGGAAAGGAAAAATAGTAACTATAGTGAAGAAACCTGTAGACTAGCTTAACCAAATGATTAGGGTTATCATCAGCAATGATACATCATGTTAATATGTCTCCCTTCATATGTGAAGAGAACAGCACTTCATCTCTGTGGTATTCTTCCCCAAAACACATAATAACCACAGTCTAATCAAGAGAAAAATATATGACAAACCTAAATTGAGGAACATTCTGTAAAATAAAAACTCAAGGTTATGAAAAGCAAGGAAAGACTGAAAACTATCGCAGATTGAAGGAGACACGACAACCAAATGTATCCTGGATTGGATCCTGGAAGCAAAAAAAAAAGGGACATTAGTGGAAAAACTGGTAAAATCTGTGGTTTACTTAATAATAATGTGCCAATGTTAGTGTATTAGCTTCAACAAATGTACCATGGTTATGTAAGATGTTAACATTAGGGAGACACTGAAGAGTTTATGGGAACTCTGTACTATCACTACATCTCTTATGTAAATCTAAAATTATTCCAAACTAAAAAGTTTAATAACATAGGCCAACCTCTAGCATCTCAACACCATTCTCATTAACTACCATTTCTTTTTTTTTTTTTTTGTGGTGAGGAAGATCAGCCCTGAGCTAACATTCATGCCAATCCTCCTCTTTTTGCTGAGGAAGACCGGCCCTGAGCTAACATTTATTGCCAATCCTCCTCTTTTTTTTCCCTTTTTCTCCCCAAAGCCCCAGTAGATAGTTGTATGTCATAGTTGCACATCCTTCTAGTTGCTGTATGTGGGACACCGCCTCAGCATGGCCGGACAAGCAGTGCATCGGTGCGCGCCCAGGATCCGAACCCAGGCTGCCAGTAGCAGAGCGCGCACACTTAAGCGCTAAGCCACGGGGCTGGCCCTAACTACCATTTCTTAAATATCATTTACAATGGTTCCTTGACCACATGTGTAAGGTTTTTAGATATAATGAAATGTGAACTACATGGATAAAACTCAGAAAAAGTTATTACCTGCTGAAGATTGTGTCTAAAATCCTTGGTTGCTTTGTTGGATAACTTGTCGATATTTGACTCAGAGCAGCTCCTGACTCTTAAAACCTCGCTTTCCTCAGGGATCCATTTTCACACTACATTGGTGCTAACGTTTCCACTCAGATGATAATTCTCTGTCAGAGTTGAGCAGGACCACTCATCAGGCAAGCTTTAATATACTGTTGTCTTGACATGAGTACAGCCATGTTTGGCCGCTCCATTGACCTACAGCCACCAGCACAAAAAGAAATATAAAAGCTGCTTTTTGCGTGGTGGGAACTGGCCCTTCTCCCACGGAGAGAGTTGCAAGTTGTAACATTTCAAGGCTCTTGGAGCGTCGTAGCACGGGATGGACTGGCCATCTGTGCCGGGCTAAGACGATAACCAAAGAGAACAATGCACGTACACAATTACTGGGCTGGGACGTTAGCCAAGGGGCTCAATGCACATACGCCACTGATAACCATTTGTGCATGGGAACACTGGATGCTTGCACTGTAAACTCTGTAACTGCTTATATAAACTGCTGGAGACTGAGACCCGGTGAGAGTTCCACCTGTGGAAGGGACGCCTTGCCCAGGATGTGTGATCCTTGCCCAGCCGTGTCGATTGACAGGACTCTCCTGGCAGTGGGGCGTGGATGTTGTGAGTAATTGATTTACTGTGAAGTAACTGATTTGATGTGTTCTCTTTTCGATCAACCTGGTGTTTCTCTTTCTGGTTGATTTGTGTCATTTCTCTTCAGCCGATGTGGGTGTTTTCCCTTTCCAGTCGGGCTGATGTTTTTTCCCTCTTAATATTTGACCTATTTGGATCTGTTTGCAGACTGTCGCCTTTACTATCCTCTATATAATAAAATATACCTTCAGTCCATTTGTTTGGAGTGGAAAGTGTCTTTTACGTCTCCGATCGAATCCCCGAACCTCTCATAACAACTGTGCACTCCGTACAGTGCGTCCACGCCTGAGTTTCCCTTTTCTTCATATCCCAAAAAAGAAGACTTTCCAAATTTTTGTCCTCAGAGAAGCTGCATCTTCTTCTATGGCCTAGCCTTTAAAAGTCACATCACCTCATTTCCAGTGTACTCTCTTGGTTGAAATAGTCACAAAAATCCCCCTGGTTTCAAGTGAAGGAGACATAGACCTTATCTCTCTAAGGCAGGATCATCAAAGTCACATGTAAGAAGAGCATATGGGATGGGAGAGATTGTTAGGATCGTCTTTGGGAAAATACAACCTGTCACATCTGGATTCGCCCTTCAGAAGGTAGTTTCAAGAATCTACAGCCAAAGTGATCGTCCTTAAATGCAAATCTGATCCTGTTAACTTACCAGCCAAAATTTTTCAGTAAGCTCCCCAGTGGAAAGTCAAACAGTTCTGCCAGCTGGCCGCACCAAACCATCTGCAGCTCTCAGAGCATGCCTCCACTCCTTCAAGCTGCCTCCTCTGGCAAATGCTTACTCCTTTGGCAGGGCTTAGCTCAAGTGACACTTTCTCCTTGGGACCTTCTTAATCTCTTAGCGCCTCCCCTCAATTGATTATTCCTCTCTTTGGGTCACTGCCAAACACCATCAATCATGGTGCTTGTAACACTTGACTGCACTTCTTTATCTCTTGACGAAAGTGTAGCAAATTTGAGGGCAGGAACCATGCTGTATTCATTGCCCGGTTCATGAGAGGCCCTTAATAAATGCTTATTGGATGGATAAAAATGACCTTTACATCATATTTCAGGGCTTAGAGTTACAGTGTGAAACCTGAGAATCTAATTCAGTTCATAAAATAGAATTATTAGGTACCTTTGTAATTGCTTATTCTTTAGGTTTATCAATCATTACCCTAAAAATCAAATAATAATTCTGACCATAGTAGAAACTCTAATGTTGTAAACTGCATATTTGCTATGTGTTGTCATTGATTTCATTTGGGAGCCTGAAATCAAAGACAGCATCTATATTTCTTAACCATTGCTCTTCCCAGCCTTTTATTTATTTATTTATTTTTTGTGAGGAAGATCAGTCCTGAGCTAACATCCATGCTAATCCTCCTCTTTTTGCTGAGAAAGACCGGCTCTGAGCTAACATCT